CAGAAACTTGTAGCATTGGAAAACCTGCTGAAAAGGGCAACTAGGGTCCCTGCCACACGGCAGGGAAAACACCGGGCAAAGTGCGGCTTTTAAAAGCCGCACCAAAATAGAGACGCCGCGGCGGGATCCCTCGGGTCCCCTGAGCCGCGGCGCCATTGCTCCCCGGCACGATCAGATGCCGGGGAGGAAGAGACGATCGGGAGGGGGAGGCTGCCGAACTGCGCATGTCTGAGCATGCGCAGTTCGGCCGGGAGCTGGGGATGCGCCGGCAATCCCACGGCCGGCCTTGATGCGCCCTGTCCCGACGAACCACCTAGGTAGGTGGTTTATTTTTGATGCGGGGTTTTGGTGGAAGGGCCAGATCGGGAACGGGCACGCCACGCTTCCCAGATGTTGCTGTGGGATCACGCCCGTTTGCTGCGCCCCCGATCCGGCCCTCTCCCGGCCCAAAACCGCTCGTGGGACCAGGGCCAAGAATGATTAAGGGAACGGAACAACTTCCCTATGAAGAAAGGTTATTGGGGCTCTTTAGCTTGGAGAAGGGTGGGGTATAAATCCAATCTCTTCTTCTTCTTTTCTTGTGGAAATGTATTTTTATTTTGGGGGGTATTTTTTTTGTGTGTGTATGTATGTGTGTGTGTGCACGTGTGTGTCTGGAAGTCATGGCTGACTTCTGGCGACCCCTAGTGGGCCTTCGAGGGAAGGGTCATTCAGAGAGCTGGCTTGCTAATCGCCTGCCTCTGCCTCCCAGGCCTGGTATTCCTTGGCGGTCTCCCATCCAAGTACTTGACAGGGCCGGCCCTGCTTAGCTTCCGAGATCTGATGAGATCGGGCTTGCCGGGGCTATCCAGGTCAGGGTCTCCTGTGGTAATTCACACCAATGTTCCCTCTAAGCCGTGGAGTCTCGTGAGCAAAAATTCTACTTTGTGCGCCACTGGCATTAAAGTTGTGAGCAAGCGATTGGGCTGCTGCATAAATTAGTTTGCTCCGGAGCCGTCCTTCCTGAGCGGAGACAAAAATGTGTGAGCCGGAGGCTAAAGAACTGTGAGCTAGCTCACACTAACTCAGCTTAAGAGGGAACACTGCCAGTGTTAATGTTTCACACATTTTAAATAACGGGGGGCCAAAGACAGACTCTGAAAGTGACTGGTGCACTGAGAGTTGTGCAACGGTAGAATCGGCTGCCTCGGGAGGTGGTGAGCCTCCCCCGTCCCCGGCCGTCTTTCAACAGCGACTGGACCAACACTTGTCAGGGTTGCTCTAGGCCACTGGTGGCGAACCTATGGCACGGGTGCCAGAGGTGGCACTCAGAGCCTTCTCTGTGGGCATGCGTGCCATCGCCCCAGCCAGGCCCAGACCAGTGTTCCCTCTAAGCTGAGTTAGTGTGAGCTAGCTCACAATTTTTTAGCCTCCGGCTCACACATTTTGGTCTTCGCTCAGGAAGGAGGGCTCCAGAGCAAACTAAATTAAGCAGGAGCCAAATCGCTCGCTCAAACCTTTAATGCCAGTAGCTCACAAAGTAGAATTTTTGCTCACAAGACTCCACAGCTTAGAGGGAATATTGGCCCAGACCATCATTAAAGTGTCGAATTCTCTGCCAAATAATTTTAAGTAAATTAAAGATCATCTTAAGTTAATGTTTGCGTTGTTTTTTCTGAAGGAAAACCGCAGTATTCAGGTTAAATTGCCGTGTTGGCACTTTGCGATAAATAAGCGGGGTCTTGGGTTGCGGTTTGGGCACCCGGTCTCTAAAAGGTTCGCCATCACTGCTCTAGGCTGATCCTGCACTGAGCAGGGGGCTGGACTAGATGGCCTCTGTGGCCCCTTCCAACTCAGTGATTCTGTGATTCTAAAGAGCAATCCTTTGCAGAATTACTCCATAGATTTCAGAGGGTAGCTGTGTTGCTCTGCAGAACTAGATGCAAATCCCGGAGCACCTTAGAAACCAGTAAGATTTTTTTTGGGGGGGGGTAAATAAACTTTTGAGCCCTATCCTGCCTGGCCCAGAATAGCCCAACCTCATCAGATCTTGGCAGCTAAGCCGAAGCGAGCCGTGACTCATGAAAGCTCCTCCCCTGCCACATGTTTCGTGAGTCTTTAAGGTGCGGCTGGACTCTTGGGTCTTTTCTACGGCTACGGACAGACTGACAACGGCGACCCATCTCGATCTGTCCACATTTATTCCATCTCTTCCGGAGAAAAATGCCGTTTCGTGAGTCTTTAAGGTGCGGCTGGACTCTTGGCTCTTTTCTACGGCTTACGGACAGACCGATGCGGCTACCCGTCTCGATCTATCTACATTAATTCCATCTCTTCCGGAGAAAAATGCCTGCTTTGGAAGGTGGACTGCGCGGCATTCTACCCTACCGAGGCCCCTCCCCTCCCTAAATGCCACACTCCCGCGCTCCATCCTCAAATCTCCCATTTCCACACCCAGACCCTAACGCCAAACCCTTCGTGCCAGTCTTGAACTCGTAACAGTTTGACCTCTGTAAACCCTGGTTGGTACTTGGATGGAAACCCCCAAGGAAGTCCAGACTGTGGCTGCTACGCAGAGGCAGGCAATGGCAAGCCACCTCCGCTCATCTTTTGCCTTGGAAACCCCACCAGGGTCACCACCGTAAGCCAGCTGTGCCTTCAGAGCACTGTCCACCACTGAGCTTTTGGGAGTCAAAGCTCCCTTCGTCGGATACAAGTCGGGACTTGTATACAAAGAAGGGAGCTTTGGCTCTTGAGAGCTTATACCTCCAAATATCTTGTTGGCCTCTAAGCCTTAGAGTTTTAAGGTGCTGTTGGAGTCAAATCTAGTTGTTTCGTGGCTTTCAATAAATGTGGAGCAGATCTTCCCAGGACTGCGGTGCTAGAGATGGAGGTATTCATTGTATGTTAGTGAAGACTTACCTGATTTACCCGACGAAGGAATAGATCTGAAACGCTGATTGTAATCTGAAACGCTGATTATATTATCTAGAACTGCGTTGTTTCTACTTCGAATGGACCTCATTTACTACAAGCTACAGTATATAGATGTTTGGACTTCAATTCAAGGACATGTGATATTTACATAAACATTTTCTCTGTGTGTGTGTGCTTGTTTTATTTATGAAGGAAGTCTGCTGCTTTTGAGAGTGACTTATTGCGAGTTTGAGTTTGTTACCACCCACTTTTGGGTAATTGTTCCTTATTGTGTTTATGATTCTACAACAATGTATATATGAGTTTGGCACTATTATTGACTTTGCTTTCCATATAATTATTGTTGCATTTATTTAGCATGCTTTGACTACAGATTTTTCGTGATTTCTTTGCTCGTTTTCTCTGGCCTCCCTCCTTTCTACTGGTAGAGATGGAGGTAAAGCACCCTCTGCTGGTTGTCATGTGTCAGGTTAACTCTTAACACTTTGCTTCAGTTCCGTCTTCAGACTTCTGGTTGGTTCTGCAACCCTGATCCTGTTGCAAAGAAGAAGGAGGAGGAGGAGGAGGAGGAGGAGGA